TATTTTTACATGTTAGGCAGTTGTATTAGTGTCTAAGCCACAAGCTCTCCTCCCTTATCAGCTGAGCCAAGGAAATGATTAAGTGTGTGTGTTTTCCAGCATAACTCTGGAATGCCTCGAGCAATCTCAACTAAACTTGGTACACAGAAGACTTACTAAGTGTAAACAAATACTGTGGGGGTAACACACCCCTAACACCCCTCGGTGTGTGTGTTCTGTTAAAATATAACCTGCTATCCCTTAAAATGGCTTCTACTGTACTGCCGTAAAATGGCTTCTACTGTATAGCGCAGTAGAGTTGCCATAATAGCGGCTTCACAGTACTCCACAAGGGGGCTCCCTCTGGTAAGGGAGAAAATCCAACATTAGAAGTTACGTTTGGTCTGGACATTTTCAACAAAATCAGAGCTTTTTTTGTCTAATACAGAATTAGGATAAATACCCTGGCAACGCCAGGTTATCAGCTAGTAATTTATATTAAAAAGAAAAGAAAATGATAGAATAACAGAACAGAGTAACAGAGTTGGATGGGACCTTGGAGATCTTCTAGTCCAACCCCTGCTCAGGCAGCAAACCCTATATCATTGCAGACAAATTGTTATCCAATCTCTTCTTTAAAAATTCTAGTGTTGGAGCATTCACAACTTCTGAAGAAAACGATTCAACACAGACAAGAGCTGCTTACAATTGGTTGTGGCTGAGAAGATGGGACGTTCGGCTGGTTCATCTGAGCATTTGGTCCAGGTCCTGGCCCAGGTCCTGGCCCGGGACCAGCTCCTGGTCCGGGTCCTGGACCCTGTCCTGGCCCTGGCTGTGCATTTCCAGGAATTAGAGACGGGACACTGGTTTGGCGATGAAGGATTTTCTGGATGACAGAAGAGAGAAAAGTAAAATAGGCGCGTTTAACAAGATAAAAAGCATAGATGTTTCAAGGCACACGGCTCCGCCTCTTATCCCAAGGCTGCAAAAGGTTGCAAACGTACCAGGGCAATTTCTGGGTCAACAATACGCATCACCACTTGGGCCTGCAGCAATGCATAGGCGAGTTGCGGGTTTTGCAAGAGCATACTCCGTGCCTCCTGAGGGCTGTTCTGGACACACAACTGGAAAAACAGAAAAAGAGAAGGGTCAGCATTCCAAGAAATGCACCCATTGAAAGCAGAACTCTGAGGCAGGTAGATTCCTCAGAACTCAATTTATTGGCTACATCATATTGGCCCAACTGGTGAAAACCAACTCTGAACGTTCCTGCGGTTTTCACCAAATTAAAAAGTTCCCCCCTTTCCCCGCAAGTCATCAGTCAAATTGTCCAATCGAGCTGTCCAGTTGCTTGGTTACTCTCCTCCTCCTCCTCTCCCCAGCCACCTGTTGGAATGCCCTTGGTTCCCACAGGAAAACTTTCTGTTTTGACTACAAAACCCCAGCGATCTATTCCTCCCCCCCCCACCCCGGTCCCTTCTTCTGCCTTGTGACTATCCTGAAGCCTCCAAGATGGCCTCAGCCAGGTTCGCTTCAGGGTTGACAAGGAGAATCTAGAACACGAGGAACAGTTGACTTGTCGTCTTCCAACCTCTGAAGCTTTTCTCCACAGCTCAAGGTTTCGTGACTCACCCACAAGAAAACAAATGGTCAGATGTTGGTGCAAAGGCTATTTCTGGCTCTTGTGGGCTGCAGGTAAATGTGAAAAAGCCATCTGTTTACAGAGCCGATTAAATATTTCTATTTATATCTCCAGCACTTCATTTCCTGCACACCGTAGTCTCTGAGGGAGAAGGAACCATCACTTTGTGACAGATGGGACATGCGCTCAACAAATATCACCAATGTAATCTCTGCTGCCACCTACCCCTCCTTCTCAGGCCTCCACACCTCAAGGGTTCCAGGTTGGAGAGAGCTGCTTCAGAAAGTCTGAATTGATTCCTAACTACAAAAAGACCACTCAGGTACAAGGTGAGGAGCAGACTTTTTACCTAGAAGCCTATTGGGATTAATGGGTTGAGAATAATCTGATCTAGTATGAAAGTTCTGCAAAGATTCGTTCAGATTATGAGCTCTGCTTCTGCCCGATGGACTCTTTCCTCCTTCCAATTCCCACATGCTTTTCTCTTGCACCCAACATGCTGCCCTGCACTTCCAGCTAACTACTCTACGTTTGAAGAGAGAGAATTCTCCAACTTATCATCTGCTAACTTGAGGCCGGGGACTCACTGGAGAAGAGCCTAATGCTGGGAAAGATGGAGGGCAAAAGAAGAGGATGACAGAAGCGGCAGCGAGATGGAGTCACTGAAGCAGTAGGCCTGAACTTAAATGGACTCCAGAGGATGGTAGAGGACAGGAAGGCCTGGAGGAACATTGTCCATGGGGTCACGATGGATCAGACACGACTTCGCAACTAACAACGCCAACAACAAACTCAAGGCGACGTCTCCTTCCCTTTGCCAAAAGAGATGAAAATGCTTCTATTAAATGGACAGGCAGAAGAAGAGACCTGAGTTTTCTGACTTGCAACCAAAGGTCCACCTGGCTTCTAGGAGAGGATCTCCTGCAACTAAGAAGACAACCAAGCAGGCCTCCTCTCTTCAGGGTTGCCGGCCCACCAACCTTCATCTGCTTCATCAGTTCAAACATCTGTTCAGGAGGCAGGCTGGCCACCGCTCTGCTGATGGACTCAGGAGCATCTTCTGGGTTTACGGGGTCTCCATAGGGCGACTCTATGATGGGAGCACCAGTGCCCAGGCCTAGCAGAGAGAGAAAGAGAAACCTCAGGGCCAGAGATTGTAGATCACTCGTGCTGTAAACAAGCACAGTATCACGGCCAGTGGGTCACCCCCTCCCCTCTCCAATCTTCTGATGGGCCTCCAGACTCACTCTTCAGTTCCTCCTTGTTCTTCTCACTGGCTGCGTTGTCCACCCGCAGGGCTCTTCCGCTAAATTCTCGCCCGTTGAGATTCCGCATGGCGCTGAGTGCGGTTTCTTGGTCTTGATACTCACAGAAGCCATAGCCTTTCGGTTTGCCCGTCTCTCTATCATACACCAATCTGGTTGGCAGAGCAGAGAAAACCAAGACAGTTATTCCAAAGAAGATAACTGGGTGCAATGTTTCAGAAAAAGAGAGGAAGGGGAAAGAGAGGGGGGGGAGAAAGAGGGAGGGGGAGAGGGAAAGAGAGAGAGAGGGAGGGAAGAGAAAGTGCCATATCAGGAAAAGGCAGCTTTGCAATTGGGGAGAGGGAGGGAGAAAGGGGGGGAGAGGGAAGGGTAAGAGTGAGTGGGGCAAGAGAGGGAAGGAGTGAGGGAAAGAGAGGGGGGGAGGAGAAAGAGAGGGAAGGAGAGAGGGAAAGAGAGGGGGGGAGGAGAAAGAGGGGGAGAGAGGGAGGGAAAGAAAGGGAGAGAGGGAGGGCGGGGGAAATGGAGGGTGGGAAGAGGAAATAGATGGAGGGAGGGAGAGGGGAAGAGAGGGAAGGAGAGAGGTAGGTAGGTGCTCGTAATGAGAACATTAGAACAAAAACTAATTGATGACCCCATCCCCAAAAGGAAACTATTTTACATATGTTGGATTGCATGCCTAACCAGGGTCTCTCCAGATGTTGCCATAGAGGGATAAGACAATGGTGAAGGAGGACACTGGAAATAGGGAGTTCAACATTACAGGTAGGCCTCGACTTACAACCACAATTGAGCCCAACATCTCTGTTGTTCAGTGAGACGTTTGCGAAATGAGTTTTTGCCCCATTTTGCAACATTTCTTGCCGCAGCTGTGGCGTGAATCACAGAAGTTTGTTAAATGAATCTGGCTTCCCCATCAACTTTGCTTGTCAGGAAAATCGCAAACGTTGATCCCTTGGCCCTAGGACACTGCAACCATCATAAATATGAGCCAGTTGCCGAGCGACTGACTACATGACGCTGCAATGGTTTTCACTGTGAAAAATAGTTATAGGTCACTTTCTTCACTGCCATTTGTAACTTTGAACGGTCGCTAAATGAACTGTTGAAAGTCGAGGACTGACTGTATTTAGAGGGTCCAGCATTCCCACCTCTTAACATATCGTATATTTTGGATTGCAGTGGTTCTCCAGAGTAGCCTTTCTCTAATGCAGTGTTTCTCAATCTTGGCAACTTGAAGATGTCTGGACTTCAACTCCAAGAATTCCCTAGCCAGCATTCATTGGCTGGGGAATTCTGGGAGTTGAAGTCCGGACATCTTCAAATTGCCAAGATTGAGAAACACTGCTCTAATGGAAGCATCAGCCTGATCCATCTGATATATTGGAAGGATGCCAGGTTGGGGAAGAGGGATCTAGATTCTCAGCCACAGGCCTTTCTCATTGGTTAAAGGATTTTAGCCAAGATTTCAAGAATGAAAACACATGCACGCTATTACTCATCCTAAACCCTTCGTCTTCTGCCCCGTTTCTCTACAGTTTTTAAAACCTCTAGAATGAACTACTTTTCAGGGAATTCCGAAAGGGAAGCTTCTCACCGGAAACTGACCACAGGTCCAACCTCAGAGAAGATGTCTTTTAGCTGTTCCTCTGTGGCTTCGTAAGGGATGTTCCCCACTACAGGAGAAAGGAAGGAACAGGCCATCAGTATCTGTGGGCATATCCGCAATTAGGCAGGCACCTTTTCCGGTGCAAATCGAGGCAGTCTTTCCAACCTGATGCCTTTTCCTGGTATGATTCCTATTATTTTCAACCAATAAAGTCAGCAATCTTACCGCATTAGTCATTTGTTGCAGTTAATGCTGCTCTTTATTTATAACCATTCCAGTCGTACAAAACTAGCAAAACCACAAAATACGGACTAAAAAAGTCAAACTTAAGCCCAGACTTAAAATAATCGTAGTCAACAAAAATCAAACAAAAGACGGGTGCTAGGCAAAGAACAATACATCGATCCCAAGCCCGATGCCAAACACCAGTTTGATATACCAGTCAAAAGTGTAATCTATCACTGTTGCTAAATTATGTTGTTGCACTATAAAACCCACACAGAAGTGGAAAAATATTGTTGGGAGATAGGAACTTCTCTAAAGAGACTTTTAAAATTCAATTTACATTTTTAACATATTTTGCATCGGAAAGAGTGAAATGCCAATATTATAATACTGCCCAACCCTATACAGTATACAGCAGCAATGAAAAAGCAAACAGATTTAAAGTGTTTAAAATCTATTTGCGCCAATGATAAGCAACAGGCAGAAGACCGTAACATATACATGTCATATTCACACACACACACACATATATGTGTATGTATGTTTATATATGGATATGCATGTGTGTATATGTATATATACACACACGTGTATATGTATATTATGTGTGTGTGTGTATATACATATGTAGATATAGATTAGATATAGATATATATGTGAATATGGAATGTATATGTTATGGTCTTCTGCCTGTTGCTTATCATTGATGCAACACACACATATACATACATATATACCATACACACACGCAAATAAACAATAAAACAAATAAATCCTGGCTTTAAATTATACATGCAAGAGCGCAATTCTAAGAAGAGCTAAGAAAGCTGCATGCATTTCCAAAAAGCTGTGCAGCACGTTTCGAGTGCTGATGGCTGGGAATGATGGGAGCTGGAGCTTAAGCACCTCCATGGAGCCACGCACCCACCCCCCAAATTAGCCAGAGAGTCCAGGACCCCACGGAGGGGGACTACAACCCCCATATCCCTCAACCAGCTGGCCCAACTGGGGGTGGGGAACACGGTGTTGGGGCTTGTAGTCCCCCTTGGCCAGCCACGAGCGGGCCGAAGCGGCGTCGAGAGGCTCCCCGGGGCGAGAGAGAGGCCGACGGGCGCAGCACCTCACCGAACACGGAGCGCAGAGACCGATCCACCGCGGGGTCCCGCACCGACAAGCCCGCCATCTTCCTCGCCTCAGCCCACCGCGGCTTTCAACCCAGCCGACCACTTCCGGTCCGTCGCCGAAACGCGCCGCCGCAAGCTTCGGGTTTTTTTTTTTAATTAGGTCCCACCCTTTTCCCCTTCCCCCGCGGAAGCCCTGGCGCTCAAAACTGGGTTCCGTTTCCGCGCTGATTCCGTTGCTCTTCCGTGCCGATTGAGGAAGATGGAGGCCGGTGCTTCGTCCTCTGGAGGCACCGCCGCTCTCGTTACAGAGGCTCAGTTTACTCAGCTTTTCAGGTGTGTAGGGCAGATTTCTAGGAAGGGGAGCGTTGGCATGGAAGGGGTTTATATACGGGAAGCTCTTCTTTCCCTAAAAAAGGTTCATTTTTGCCCCATCTCCCTCTCT